TATAGATGGTGATTATTTCTGTCTATCTATATATACAACATTGCGTGCGAATATATATTATATAAATAGATATAGATGGTGATTATTTCTCTCTATATATACACACACACATGCACGGTGTATATATATATATATGTATATGTATGTACGTACGTACGTATGTGTATGTATATGTATATATGTATATCGATCTTTGGTTATTTGGGTTTTCTCCCGCATAAAATTGGAAGTATCTAGGCGACGTTTCGATGAAGTCTCATTCATCATCTTCAGGCTTGTGTCTTCGGCTTTGTGCTTCTCGGAGTAATGTGAGCTTGCAGCTGCTTCTTCCTTTGTTTGTTCCTTCCTTCCTTCCTTCCTCAAAACGTTGCCAAAATACTTCCAATTTTACACGGGAGAAAACCCGAATAACCAAAGATCCACATACAAATACCCGCAAAAACCTCAGAAAACAAGTATATGTATATACCCCTCCCAGGTTTGGTGGAGCCCACAATAATATATTTATTTTCTTTCTGAAGCAGTGAAGTTGTGCATCGCTGGACAAAAGACGTTAACACCTGAGGATGGAACACAACAGAGGTTTATTGGATCCAAGTGTTCTTACAACTACGCGTCGTATCTTCAGAACCGAGAGGAATAACAGTTGAAAAGAAATTTTGTCCCCATGAATCTTCTTTACACGTCATTTTCGTAGTCAGCCGGGTTCTTCTTCTTCAACTTTTTATTGTAGTCGTTTGCCCAGACATAAAGCATGTATGCAAAGACGAATTCTTAAAAAACACAAAACAGAAGGGAAGTTTAGGGTTGCACGTCCAAGTTAGAATGGACCAATTCCAATTTCTCCAACTCTTTTATCACTTCATAAAATTAGTGCTCCACTTATGACCATTATTGAGCTCTGGATTTGTGTTGCTAAGTGAGACATCGGTTCAGTGAGCCTCGCCCCAATTTTACCCCCTTTCCTGCTACAGCAGGGAATCACTGCAGCTGTTCAGTTAGTCGCATGGTTGTTCAGTGGAATCTGGCTTCCCCACTGACTTGTCAGAAGGTCGCAAAACCTGACCGTCATAAATATGAGTCAGTTGCCAAAAGTGTGAATGTTGATCACGTGAGATCGGGAGGGTGCAATGGTCGTAAGGGTGAAAAATGACCGCAAGTCCCTTTTTGTCACGGATGTTGTAACTTTGAATAGTCACTCAATGAACTGCTGCAAATCCAGAACCACCTACATGATTTCCCTGAAGTCCAAAAGCTTCAAGTTTTCACAGCTTCAAGTTTTCTCTTCCCTTGTCTCTAAATGTTTGTAGCGATTCTCGGTCATCCAGATCAGGGGGTCGCCAACCTTTTGGACTTCAGGAACCACCAAACTCATAATTTGAAATCCCGCAGACCACTAACATGAATTTTGACAGACAAGTGACTTGCTGGCGTTGGTGGGAAAGTCGGTCCTATATTCCAGAGCTGCCGTAGTCACAGGACTGGCCCTTTGGTCATCCCGGAGCAGCTCCTCCAGTCCATGGCACCCAGGTGAAGGAGCAGCTGCTCCAGGATGACCAAAGGGCCAGTCCTGTGACTATGGCAGCTCTGGAATATGGGACCGAATATATGACCAGCTGTCTGCAAGGAGCATAAATCCTTCCTTCCCCCACCATCCAGTCACAAATAAACTTCCAAGTGCCCTCAGTGTCTCTCTAAAAGGATGCAAATGACCAGCTGTCTGCAAGGAGAATAAATCCTTCCATTCCCCACCATCCTGTCAGAGCTGAAGAAGCTTCTTGGATGAGAAGCGAAACATCTTCAAAAGAGGCAAACAAGGAAGCTCGACTGTCTCTTGAAAAAAAAAGCACCTTTGGATGACAGAGAAGGATTTATACTCCTTGCAGACAAGCTGGTCATTTGCATCCTTTTTAGAGAGTCATTGAGGCCACTTGGAGGTTTATCGGTGTCTTCAGGTTCTCGAGTAGTGCAAATGGGTGTGGAGAAGGCTCAAGTGACCCTCAAGGTCCCCAAACTTGGCAACTTTAAGACTTGTGGACTTCAACTCCCAGAATTCTCCAGCCAGCATAGCTAAGTAGCCTCAACGACCCTCTCAAAGGATACAAATGACCAGCTGGTCTGCAAGGAGCACAAATCCTTCCATTCCCCATTATCCTGTCAGAGCTGAAGAAGCTTCTTGGATGAGAAGCGAAATGTCCTCAAAAGAAAAAAAGCAAGAAAAGTCCAGTTGCCTCCTGAAGAGAGAGAAAAAAAAAAGCACCTTTGGCAATTCCCCAAATTGAATCTCACCCGTGCTTAGGCACAGATTAAACTAATCGCAACGCTATCGAACTAAATGTGCTCTGAAGGCAGGTTTTGTAATGTAGGGATTACGGTTATCGCCTCCAAAGCGATTGGCAGCCAGAATGATCCGCAAGGCAAGATCCCTAATCCTTAAGCCAGACAATCTTTGCAATAATGAGATGGAGAACAGAGGCAGGGAAGACACAACAGGCTTACCTGCCAAAGCAGCCCAGCTGTTCTTTTTTGCATGCTTTTGCCTAGCCAGGTTAATTAATATTTTAATGACGTGCTGTTTATTAAATGGAACGGCTTCAGCGCTTATCTCCTTGCTGTTTGTTGGGATCAAATTGCCAGGGATAAAGATGGCACTTTTTTTTTTAACCCTTTTTTTTTTTTTTGTATTGACAATTAAAAATAACAGGACCAATTCTGATTTTTTGTTGCTGCTCTGGTGCGCCATCTATCGTTTTCTATTGGAAACTTTTTGTAAATAACTATATCAATTACAACTTTGAGGGCAGCATCTGCTCTTCTTCTTAAAGAGAACGGCAACTGGAAGGAAATTATTGAAGGGTAGCTTGGTGCCCATCCTGCCTGAAAACAAAAAAATAACTGGCTGAGAAGCGACAGCAAGAGAGCAGCCTCCCTCCTTCCAGTTTTGCATAACAGCGGGCTCAACTTACAACAGAAGAGAATAGAATAACAAGAGTTGGAAGGGACCATGGAGGTCTTCTAGTCCAACCCCTGGCTCAGGCAGGGAAACCCTACACCATTTCAGACAAATGGTGGTCCAATCTCTTCTTCAAAACCTCCAGGGATGGAGCACCCACAACTTCTGGAGGAAAGTCGTTCCGCTGATTGTCCTCGCTGCCAGAAAATCTCTCAATTATTTCTAGGTTGCTTCTCCCCCTGATGAGTTTCCATCCGTTGCTTTTTGTCCTGCCTTAAAAGTGTTTTGGAGAATAGGTGGACCCCCTCTTCTTCGGGACAGCCCCTCAAATTGTTCTGACCCACGCCCTTTTCCCACAAATGAAACACAATCTAAAAAGAACAGAAACCTTCTCATGCTTTTTTACCAAATCATTAGCTGTGATAAGCACAAGCCTTGCCAAACTGTGCGGGACTTGCCAAAAGAGAACAGACCAGAAATAATTTGCAAGACAAAAATGTTCAAATACAAACTCGGGATACTGGAATGTCCACGAGGCTGGAGTTTCAAAACGTCTTTGCCTTCTGCAAAGTAACTTCGTTTCACAGCTGGCTTTTATCTCCTTGAAGGAGGGGCCATTACCTTGCAGCCTTACTCCCGAGTCGCCCTGCTGTTGTAGCTGCTCTTTCCTGCGAGCATTCCTGCGCGCATGCGCGCTTGGCACAGGCTCCTCGGGAACCTCCTCATCGCTTCTGCCAGCCCCCACAATCTCTGAAGGCAGCAATCCACTCCCTAATGGTCCTGGCCCCTCATCTGAGTCCTCGCTCTCCTCAGCCGTCCGCACCTGCTGCCGGCTAACCACAACACAAATATTGGAACACTGCTATCATGACACTCGTAGTCCTTTTCATTAAATTAGACCAAAGGGCCTTTAAACTTGGCAAGTTTAAGACTTGCGGACTCCCAGAATTCCCAAGCTAACATGATTGGAGGAGAAGGAATTCTGGGAGTTGAAGTCCATAAGTCTTAAAGCTGTCAAGTTTGAAGACTCCTGAATTAGGCATACCCAATTCCACTAACCATTCTTTATATGTTTTACCCTCCAGTCCCCTAATCTCTGCGCTCTTTCTAGAGGTTGCTCAATGACCGTTTTTCACACTTACAACCGCTGCAGGATCCCAAGGTCACGTGATCAAACTTCAGACGCTTGGCCACTGACTCGTATTTATGACGGTCGCAACATCCCGGGGGTGATGTGATCCCCTTTTGCGACCTTCTGACAAAGGGGAAGCCCGGCTCACTTAACGACCAGGTTACTAACTAAATAACTGCATTGATTCATTGAACAAAATGCAGCAAGGAAGGCCATAAAACGGGGCAAAACTCACTTCACTTCGCTTATCAACATAAGCGTTGAATTCAACTGTGATATACCTGTAGTTTCAGAAATCTAAGGCGCCACTCCTCAGGAGTGGAAAAACCGGGCGAGTAAAACTTTAGAGGAACCTGTTTAAAAAAAAAAACCCTTTTTCCTCCCTGCACTTCACTTACGAGGCGTCACACGGAAGAACGAAGAACTGAATCGTCTCCAGGTGTTTAAGATCCTGTGTGGGATGTTGGGGAAAATTTTCTGTTCAAACGGAGACAGATAGTAGCTGACAACGTGCCTTGTTTTCATCAGGTTTCCAAACTGTTTCCCCATCTTGGCAGATTGCTCTGTGGGGGGAGGAAAAAAGAGGACAGAATAAATTTTATTTAATAAATAAAATAGGAAACGGTCAGGATGGTTACATGTTTGTAAAGATAAGCACATTTCAGAGAACCAGCTTGGATTAATTAAAGACATGGGGAGGATAATCTTGGAAGGATAACAGATTAACAGCGTTGGAAGCGAGCTTGCAGGTCATCTAGTCCAACCCCACCCCGTTCCACCTGCCTTAGGTATGAAGCCTGTGCTGTCCAGACAGTTTATAGTTAATGGGAATCAGTATAGTTAGTAATTGGGAGCTGTCCCCTTAAAGGAATGCATCATGGTAAATGTAGTTAAGGTATCCTGGGAAATGTAGTCCATGTCATATGGCCACATCAGTAATCCTGATTGGTCACTGAATTGACCCTTGGTGGGTTCCTCATGCTAGCATCTCTACCTCTGCTCCTACGATATGGGATGAAAGGGATAAAAGATTACCATCTTTTTACACCCTAAAGTACAGCTATGCAGAGAGAATTGGACATTGAGAAGAATCTCGTCATAACGGTGAGTTACTTGAGGATGCCTGATGAACCAATCAAAAGACTTGGTATGGATGCTTTGTGGAGTTACTCTGTCTGCCTTTATATTAAGAAACAGAACAAAACCAGTCAGGGCTGACTTTGGACCGGTTCCTAGGAAGGAAGCAATAAGGTCAAATCACTTCTGAAAAAATGTTGCCAAGAAAATGTTGTGGGTTTCTCCAGATAGCCACCAGGAATCAAGACTGACTTGAATGCATTCACACATAATCGTGCCCAAATTCTAGTCTAGAAAAAAAAAGGAGCCTTGCAGGGTCCCAAAGACTCACTTCTGGCGGAGTTTGGGAGAGAGAAAGAAAGACTTCTGCTGCTTTCCTTGCATGCAGCCAAAAACAGGAGGAGAAAGAAGCGGAAAGAAGCAGCCCGGTGGACAGGACAGGCATGTGGGGCGGGTGGGGCAAGTTCCCCCCCCCCACCCCTCCCCCCCCCCCCCACTACCTCATGTTGTTCGCAGTGCAAGCAATGCAAGCCTTGTGTTCCCGCACAGCCTGGATTAATTGCTTTGAGGGGGGGGACGACATTTCTCTGCGGACCACCCAAATTTTCTCGTGGACCACCAGTGATTCCCCGGCCCCGACTAGACGTTGTAGGTGCTCCATCCCTGAAGGTTTGAAAGAAGAGACTGGACAGCCATTTGCCTGCAATGGTACGGGGTCTCCCGCTTGAGCAGGGGGTTGGACTAGACGACCTCTAGGGTCCCTTTCCAACCCTGTCCTTCTTGTATTGTAGTCCAACACCCCCACCTCTACACTGAGGGCTTCTGCACAGGAGGCAAATAACGGAGACTTGGTTAAATAAATTAAATATATGTATATAAGATGTTCCTTGGTAAACTTTGGGCTCAGGCAGGCCTACCTAGCAGGGTTGTTGTGGCGGGCCCCCCAAAAAAAGAAAAAAAAGGAAGGGAAAATTCCTGCAAAGGAACACGGACAAATCTACTCCAGACTTAAAATCAAGCATTAACCTTAAATTTCCCCCACTGGCCCGACACGCGAGAGACCCGTCCCGACGATCCGGCGTGAGAAGTCACCCTTTTCTCCTCCAGCTTCGGCCGCCCTTCTCTTCCGCTTCCGGGGTGTGGCGTCACATCCGCCCGCGGATGAGATCGAACGCTTTTATCCCTCCGGCGCCCGCACCCATCATGGCGGCGGCGGAGCGTCGTGCGTGGCTAAGGCGCATGCGCGTCCCCGTGTATTGACGCCCGGCGTGGGAAGATGGCGGCGCTCGGCGTTCTGCGGAGGCTGCGGGCACCTTCAGGATCCTGGTTGCCCGGGAGGGCGCTGGGGGCGGCTCCCAGCCGGTAATCTTTCCTCTTTTCGACCCCATCTGGAGGGAGAGATTCCTATTCCGGGCAGGAAATCGCTTCCCTGCTCGGGAGAGGATGCCGGGTGAACCTCCCCCCCCCCCC